TCTTTTATGCACTGCTAGCATCTGAAAGGGCAGTAGGAAGAAGCAGGCAGCCTTAACTTGAGCTGGGAATGATCAGTGTACATCGGTAGAGCTATGTTCACTTAGTCCAAATGAGTATCTGGCCCATGGGTTCATTTCCCCAGTGGGTGTCTGGTTTATCTGTGTATGGGCAGAGGAACATGTGGTGACCTCTCTTGTGTACAAAGACCATGTAGAATTTCACCCAAGGGATCCACAGACAACAGAATCAGCTTATTTACCCCCATTTATAATTAATGCAGTAGATTTTCTGGTGCCTAACTTGTACACCTAAACTGGAATATTCAATTATTCTTAATCTTTCTCTTACATCAATAATGCACTCAGGGGCATGGACTCTGTAGGGCATTTTATGGCAAGGAAAGAGAAACACTGTAGCAAGTATCAGCATCTGAAATTGCAGTTGGATGCTTTGGAAGTAAGAAACCAAATGCTACTCCAATGTCTAAGGGAGTTCTATAATTAGATTAATAGAACTGTGTATGGAATACAAAAAACATGTGTTTTCCTAATAAAGGTTTGGGCTGGCTGTTCTGCGTAATCAGCAAGAACAGAGTGATGCAATCAGAGAAAACAGTACATATATAAAATATTAGCAGCCAGATTTTCAAAAAAATCTCAGCTTGCCTTTAGACATTGGAATGAAGCAGCTGCATTTTCAAGAGCTGTTCATCCAGCAGCTCCCACTAAAAAATAAGTGGGTGTTGACCCCATTAAAAATCTGGTCCTATGATAGTATTTTTACCTTTGGTGTGAATTATCAACTGTGCTATGTACATAAAATAAATCACATATAACAATAGCATTCCTACATTTTCCTTCATTATTAAGAGCCCTGTGTCGTTTGCTGAACCATTTTCACAATTCAGTGGAGGCAGAAATGAAAACTCGGACTCATAAAAAGTTAGACACCTTTGCAACCATTAACAGCCCGTCATCTGAAGTAACGAGCATACTGTTGTGGTTCGCTGACCTCTTGCTTTGTGCACAATAGTCCGTGATTTCCTTTATGCAGCTGAGAGATGCACAAGATGAAAGAGGGCATTATACCTAAAAAATGTTTTGCCTAGAGCAGAAAATTCAGCTTATTCCAAATCAGAAGGTTGAGAATGCGTTGGACTACAGATCTAACTTTCCTCCAGGAGCTTGCCTTGTGCAAGTACCAGCATCAGTGCTCCATTACTTTTTGTTCAAAGCCATCTGATTATTTTTTAGCTGGACAGCTTGCTTTATTTTCACCCCCACCCTTGCCCTGAGTGCAGGGGTTTTTTGTGACATGTAATAGGGACACAGGCTCAACACGCAAGCCAGAAAAATATTCTGAAAATCTTTGCCCGCTTTCACCTGAGAGACAGCAACCAACAATCCAGTTACCTTATCTAAGGATTTCCTTATCCAGTTATTTTATCTAATGAATTTGAATAGTGAACATTCTGGGCTACGTTTCAGAAGAACCCATTTTGGCTCTTGAAGCATCCAGATTTTCAAAGAAGCTAGGTGCTGCTTTGTGTTTGTTGAGAGGTGAGAGGTGCTATCGTGTGTCTAAATGAGACACCTTAATGTGCAGTGGACCATTCTACTGTGCTTTAGTGTGTCATGGCAAAAACCATGCTAATGCACAGTAGAATTACTCTAATGTGCATTAAATGTCAAACAAATGTTCACCTTTGCTACTACGTATTAGCACAGCTACTGCACCTTTATGTAATACCTCATGTTAGAGGTACTAAACTTAATGCACAGTAGCAAAGGCACATTAATGAATGTGTAGACATACCCTGTGATCAGTAATCTTCCCTATGGATGAGATTTTCAGAAGTACTAGGGGACACATCTATACCACTTCTGTAGCCCACTTGAGAGCACAGCTCCTCTCCACCAGTCTCCCATGCACCAAACACAGAAATAAGGCTAATGCAGAAGTACTCCTGCAAGTACTCGCAAGTACATCAGAGGCTGAGGGATCAGTCATTGTGAGCCTCCCCCTGCCTCATTTACTGGTTTGACACACAAGGAGCAGGAGTAGATGGGCAGGACTTCACTTCTTAGCAGAAGCACCATGGAAGCAGTAGTGACAAATTCTAAAGGTGCTAATGCACATGCACTGAGGCTGCTTCAATGTGCAGTAATGACAGCTCATCGGAGCAGATCTGATTAATTAATTCTGCTGGAGCGTGGTAATTACTGTGCTCCAGCAGACTCCAGCGTCATATGTATCAGCATCCCCACACTGAAAAATGGTGATGGGGTGCTTTAACTAAAGCTCATTTGACAAGATTTAGTTAAAGCGCCCCCACTCCATTTTTCAGTGGGGACGCTGATGCATGTAACACTCTGGGCACTTTATAATTAGAGTGGCTTTTCAAACCACTTTAATTAAAGCATGCCCCCTCCCCCCCACACCTCCTGGAGTATGTATAT